CGAATCTCAAATCGTTGCGGTTATTCGACGTGTCGATGAACAATATCAGTGGGCCACTTCCGGAAGAGTTGTGTGGGTTACCGCTGGAAAGCCTTAATCTCTTTGAGAATCGGTTGGAGGGGAGATTGCCGGAAATCTTGGGGAACTCGACCACTTTGGTGGTGATCAAGCTATTTGGAAACAAACTCACGGGGCCATTACCAAAAGATTTGGGGAAATATTCGCCTCTGAGATCGTTGGATCTTTCGGACAACCACATTTCCGGCGAGCTTCCTGACAATTTGTGCGAGAAAGGGGAATTGGTGGAGTTAATGACGCTCAACAACAATGTTTCCGGCAAAATTCCGCCGCGTTTGGGTGATTGCCACTCTCTGCTTAGGATTCGATTTGCAAACAATAACTATTCGGGTCCCATTCCGGAAAATTTCTGGGGGCTCCCAAATGCTTATCTTATGGAACTTGCAAACAACTCGTTCTCTGGTCCAATCTCCCCGAAAATCGGCAATGCCAAGAACTTGGGTCTGCTTCTTATTTCGCATAACAACTTCTCAGGAAGAATTCCGGAGGAGATTGGCTCTTTGGAAAATCTGGTTGAGTTTTCTGGCGACTATAACAACTTCATTGGACATCTACCTGATTGCATTACGAAAATGAAAAGGATTGGCAAGTTGGATCTTCAAAGTAACATGCTCTCTGGGGAGCTGAGCAGCGATCTTGAGGCCTGGCAGAAGCTGAATGAGCTCAACCTGGCAAGGAATAACTTTTCTGGGGTAATTCCCCAAGAAATTGCTAGCTTGGCAGGGCTTAATTACCTCGATCTTTCGAGCAATCAGTTTTCTGGGGAAATCCCAACTGGGTTACAGAATTTGAACCTTAATGTTCTGAATCTATCATACAATCACTTATCTGGGAGGCTTCCTTCCTATTTCTTGACAGCGGTGTACAAAAATAGCTTTCTGGGCAATCCTGAGCTGTGTAAGAAGGAAGGTGGTGTGTGTGAAAAAGTTAAAATTAAACGCAGGGAAGGAGGAGCTTGCATTTGGCTGTTGAGATTCGTCTTTATACTTGCAGGTTTAATGTTCATTTTGGGTGTGGTTCTGTTCCACGTTAGGTACAAGAAATTCATAAGGACAAGAAGTCTCAATGACAAATCCAAATGGACGGTGATATCGTTCCACAAGCTCTCTTTTAACGAGGATGAGATTCTGGGTGGCCTGGATGAGGACAACGTGATAGGCAGCGGAGGCTCTGGCCAAGTCTACAAGGTTACTCTCGGCAACGGCGAGATCGTCGCAGTTAAGAAACTTTGGGCTGAGGCGGCCCGAGATCGCAGGAGTGTCGATCTAGAGAAAGATTGGAACAATGATAATGGTTTTGATGCAGAAGTGAAAACTCTGGGTAAAATCAGGCATAAAAACATAGTGAAACTATGGTGTTGTTGCACCAATGGAGATAGCAAGCTTTTGGTTTACGAGTACATGCCTCATGGGAGCTTAGGCGATATGCTTCATAGCAGTAAAAGAGACGCATTGGACTGGCCAACAAGATACAAGATTGCCTTGGATGCTGCTGAGGGGCTTTCTTATCTTCATCACGACTGTGTTCCTCCAATTGTTCACAGAGATGTCAAGTCCAATAACATCTTGTTGGATGCCGATTTCGGAGCTCGAATAGCTGATTTCGGAGTAGCTGTGGCCATTGATACATCCAAAGATAAATCCATGTCAGTCGTTGCTGGTTCTTGTGGTTATATCGCCCCAGGTTCGTTTGTCTCTTCATTTTTTATGCATATTTGATGTCGAGTAAGCTCATTAAGCTGCTGTGATATCAACAAGTGTTTTATAGATAGATGAGATAGAGAATTGTTTCTGCCTTTAGTCCCTTGTGATTTCATTTGTGTACAATCCTTGAGCTCCACCATTATAATTGACATATGTATATGGCTTTCATTCTGCAGAATATGCATACACCTTGAAAGTGAAAGAAAAGAGCGACATCTATAGTTACGGGATGGTTATCCTTGAATTGGTAACCGGGAGGCGCCCGACCGACCCCGAGTTCGAGGAGAACGATTTGGTGAAATGGGTATGCAACGTGTTAGAGCGAAAAGGCATCAACCATGTCATAGACCCCAAACTGCATTCCTGTTTTCATGAGGAAATATTGAAGGTACTCAACATTGGCCTCCTCTGCAGCAGTCCTCTGCCGATCAACCGCCCGCCGATGAGAATAGTGGTTACGTTGTTGCAAGAAGCTCGTAACGGTATCAATAGCCATTCAAAGAGCTTCAAGAAAGACGGTAGACTATCTCCAATATACGATTGTGAGGAAGAATCGGAACATGGAAATGTGGTTAGTAACAGTCCCGTAAGAGCATTTTCTTAGTTGTTAAGCTCGTGACAGACATCAGCGAACCCATATTTGTTTTAGAAAGTAGGCCAAAAAATGAAGGTGAACATCACAAAAGAGAGTAGAATGTTTGAGTTGTGAGTAAACAAAGTTGTTCACCAACCATTTCTGAAATACCTTGAGCTCTCGCAGTCTGCAAATATTGAAGAAGGTGATAAGGCCACATAGCCTAATGGCTTCCAACTTCAACTTCTAATTTAGGCATTGGTTTTGATTTTGCTGGTCTCACTTTGAATCACTTCCCCATTTTTTCCTTCCAAACTTGTGGTTGGTATTCTCCTTCCTTCCCTTCGAATATGATTGAATGAGAAGGAAATGAATTTGTTAAATCCCATTTTTAGTTGATGCTCTCTAATTAATTTCAATTTAGTCCATTTTTTATGTGAAAATTGCAAGACGACGACAAAATAGGAGCAAGAGAAAAATTGCACAGAAGAAGAACACTTCTATTTACTAAAATGGAAATTGTGTTTACAAGCATTTGTAGGAAAATAAATAACCTATCATTAACCAACTACTCTTCAAGCTTTCTCTAACCAACACCACACTAATCCACTAAGAATTACTTCTAAAATATGGGAACACTAAGAATAAAACTAATACGTGTTTACACTAATCTTCTCCAATAACTTGGTACTTTTTGAATTTTTTATTACTCAGTAAGAATAAATTGATAAATTTTAGTAAAAGGATAGATATGATATAAATAACATTTTTAAAAGGTTGTTCTTTTGAAATTTTGAAACCAATGCAAGCTTCAAAAATTATATGTGATTCATTATTGTCAAATTCAATAATCCAGCTTTCAATCCTCTATAGAGGATTAGGATTACGTTAAGTGACATCTATAGGATTGAAGAAGGCTAAAGAAAAAAGAAGGAAGTACGAAAGGATAACTGGAAATCCAAGTACACAAATAATTAGAAAAATGACACACAATCACATCACGCTCATTCCTGTAGAATTTATCAAATCAAACACTGTGAAAAATTATTTAAAA